ATACATATTTAAATAAATAGGAGGTCCTATACCATATATATGGAGCCCCAGTGAAGCAGTGGGTTAAACCGCTGAGCTGCTGAACTTGCTGACCAAAACATCAGCAGTTCGAATCTGGGGAGCAGGGTGAGCTCCTGCTGTTAGCCCCAACTTCTGCCAACCTAGCAGTTCGAAAACATGCAAATGTGAGTAGATCAATAGTTACCATTCCGGCAGGAAGGTAAAGGTGTTCCATGCAGTCATGCTGGCCACATGACCTTGGAGGTGTCTACGGACAATGCCGGCTCTTTGGCTTAGAAATGGAGTTGAGAACCACCCCCAAGGCAGACACGACTAGACTTAATGTCAAGGGGAAACATTTAGCTTTATACCATGTAATTGTTCTGAATCCTTTTTGTCAGAGGTTCTTTCATAGTGCACAACTAAAGTGTTATATTTTGCTTTAACTGTCATGGCAGCATCTTGAGGAATCCTGGAATTTGCAATTTTAAGAGAGGAGCATTTAGAATTTTCAACCAGGAAACTATAAATCCAACTACTGTACAAATCCCAGAATGTCTCTCAGATACCCAGTTAAAAAAATTCCAGTTAAAGTGGAATCATCACACTATAATAGTGTAATATGAAACCGTTCCATTTCAGTGAATGCACACAATGAAGTAGGTGGAATCTGAAGTCTCACAGAGTAAAAAGGCTACTTTTCAGACCTTGTTGCATCTCAAAGAGAAGTGAAGATTTAATCTGATCACTGTATACTTTAAAAGCAATAGGGGGTAAAGACAAAATGACAGTTGTGAGCCAGCAGAGTATCACTGACACTCAACACTGTCAGTACAAGAGATTGAAAGAGGGGAGACAATGCATCCTGCCTAGATAAAGCAAAATTGGCAGAGTCCACTCTTTTGGAAAGTTTGTGATGTAAAGGCAACCTTAAACTGATACCAGCCTCAGATGAACCGGAATCTTATAGGACAAATTTAATATTGTTGTTACTTTAACAACAATATTAATATTGTTGTTACTTTAACAACAACAATCCCAATCTCCTGGGATTGGTTTCAAGAGCCACTGTATATACTGTATGTAATGCTCCAGTCACATTATATATAGTGATATAGTAAAATTGTGACACTTAAATAAAATGGCAAAATCAAGGTTTGTTTTTGGAATATTTTCAAGACAGTGGAGTCTGTGAATGTTGACTCAGTGAGAATGGAATACTGGCAGCATTCAGTTTATCAATACCCAGTGATAATCAAATGTTGTCTTTTAATTTTTTTCTTAGTTTCCAAGACTTAACTCATTAAGACACTTATTTTATTTTAATCTTGTTGTTTCATTATGGGAATCCAAGGGACCTCACAGTGGGACTAAAAACAAATTAGGTTGTAATATTTAGAAAAAACAATTAAATGGACCATCGTATTAAAACAACTAAATTGAAAACAATCTAAAACAACAACAGGGATGAAAAAAAAGAAAAAGTGTAGTAACCCACCCACCTCCCTTAAAATCCATGCCCTCAGCAGCCAGTTAGCTCTCCTTTACTATTCTTAGATTTTCCAGTCTTGGGTTTTTATTGTTACTACATTCTCTTAGCCTAATGGTTCCCAAATAAGGATCACCGAGTTTCCAGATGTTAACAGATTAGAATATCCAGAATCCCTGTCTGGGTATTCTTGGTGGGGCTTCTGGGAATTCAAGTTCAACAACATCTCAAGATCCATGTGAGGTAATTATTGTGGTTTTCTATTGTTAAATATCAAATTAAGAAATCCTTTTTGGCAAGAAGGTAAGCGTTTTGCAATGGGTTAAAATAACTCCAGTCTTTCTAGAAACCATTTAGGTGCATTCATAGGAGAGCTACTGTTGTGAAAACATTCTAAATCATTCTCACTACCAAGAATAACAAAATTATACAGCAGTTGCAGAAACCATACAGAAATGCTACATTCTCCTAGAGACATGGCGATGGATATGTATTACCATTTATCTTGAAGTGCTGTGAACATAAATCCTTCATGCATGTTAAACGTGCGCTCCGGATTAAATAAGTACCAAATTCTCCAAATTGGACATCATGTGAAGGGCACCAAGATGGGTCAGTCCACCATGGAAGACCTGTGTGAAGACTACTGTTCCACTGATACATGGGGATGAAAGGAGCTTGTTTAAATAGTAGTGATCCCATACGTGTACCATTATAACTTCTTTTGAAGCACAATTCAAAGAACATATTGATGTTAGTCTGGATCAGTATGCAAAGGAATCTCGTAACACCTTTGAGACTAACTGAGAGAAAGAAGTTGTGTAGCATTCGTTTTTATAGACTCAAGCTTGCTTCATCAGGTGCATCTGACTTAAGTCTATGAAAGCTTATGTTAAGAACTTCTTTCTTTCTGTTAGTCTCAAAGGTGCTATGAGGTCCCTTTGCACCCTTATGAAGCAGTCAGCATCAATCAGCACCCCATGGAGTCCTTTTTGTTTCAGTAGGCTTTTTTCCTTCCGAGCCTTAAAACACCTTCTCAGCTTTTTGTAAAATTGTATTAGTTTTCCCATGATACCTGCAGACTTCATTTAAATATATTTTATTGAATCTGGGTTGCAGTTCTGTACACGCTCCCCAGGGAGTAAGTCCCTTTGAACTCAGTGAAGTTTAATTTTGAGAAGATAAACATATGGTTGTACTACGTGTTTCCTTACTTTAAGTTACTCATTCTTTTGTAAGCTGCTTTCAAGGTTCCCTTTGAAATGGAAGGTGCGGGATTGCAAATTTATATTAATAAATAATCAAGCCAGCCTAGGGTGCGTCTGGATCTATTTTTGTTTCTTGAAGTCCCACAATCTTCAGTAGCTTGGTGTGCCTTTTATCAGATTAGATTGATTGCCAGTTGCATCCCTTTTGGGACTGGGATCGTTTAACCGTGGTGGTTCACATACTGGCAACTTCAAAGCTAGAATATTCCAAAGTGCTGAGTGTTGGACTGTCCTTAAATGGCAGCTCCAGAAACTGCAATTGACGAAGAACACCTCAAATAAGCATTTGGGAGAGGTAGACTCCTGGCAGTACAAAACATCTATATAAATAAAAATGTAATGTTTGTTTGTGGGATTAACATAACTCAAAAACCACTGGAGGAATTGACACCAAATTTGGGTACAATATACCTATCAGGCCAACAAATGACCATCACTCATAAAAACACTGAAAAACACAGCAGAAGAAACTTTAAAAACCAAAAAATTATATTACAACGCATGTGCAAAACCACATGTATATATATGCAAACACACATATAAATCCATTGGTCTATAAGCACTCCTTTGTTAATGTTGTGCTGAGGTCTATTCTGCAGTCATTCTGAACAATGGAATGTCCCTCTCTTTGAAATTCATCATACAACAACCATTTTAAATTAAATATTTACCTATTTAATCCAGCTTCCCCTATATAGTTTAACCTAATATCTATTGCATGGATCAGAAAACATTATGTCCTAGTTGGCATAACACATATGTTTTATATTTTATTTTTTGTTTCTTTGTGCATCCCTATGATGTTTTTGAATCTAAGCAGTTTATCAGTAGGTGTGATATTACTGTCTTCTCAATGATTTTAAGTGGGAGGAGCCGAAGCTTTTCCAGGGCTAGTAAATAAATACACTGGAGCTATCTCTGCCATGATAGTAGTTGTTTTTTTGAACCAGGTGCAGGAAGCAGTCATCACTGAATCACAAGGAGAGGAGTAACACAAGGGAAACTTCATGGAAACATGACACCCATTTATAGTTGATATTTGGACCTACCACAGATGCATGTGACATTTTGGTGCAGTGTCTTCTAAAATAAAAAAAAAATGATAGAATATAAGGATTGATGTATTTGTTAAAATGAAACAGTCCTAAAAATCTCCTAGACTAATTTCTTAATAAAACCATTTTCAAAAAGAGGCTGAATGGAAAGTTATCAATTGAAACAGTAAAAAAAAAAAACCCTACTTTAAAAAGAGCTTATGTAGCAGAGCTAGGAAAATGTTCACTAGAGATCCTGGAAAGCTAGTTAGAGCATATAATCTTTCCCCAATCTTATGTCCTCCTGGTGTTTTGGACACCAGTTCTCACCAATCTTGAGTACTGAACAAATTGACTTAGACTGTGGTTTTCAGACTGTGGATCCCCATATGTTTTGGCCTTCAACTCCCAGAAATCCTAACCGTTGGTAAGCTGGCTGGGATTTCTGGAAGTTGTAGGCTAAAACACCTGGGTTGAGAACCACTTGCTTAGAGGATACAGGTGTAAAACTGTTAGAGCACATGAATTAGTCTTATTGTTGTGTTCCTTCAAGTCATTTCATATGTATGTATCTCTAACGTCAACATAGCATGGGGATTTCTTGGCCGAATTTGTTCAGATAATAATAATGATAATAATAATAATAATAATGCTAACAACAATTTTATTTTTTTACCCCGCCACTATCTCTCTGAAGGGATTCAGGGCAACTTACATGTGGGATCAAGTCCAGAGACAACACCTTCTTCACCCTGGCCTCAGAGGGGCAGTTGGTTGTGGGAGGGGCTCCCAACTGATGACCCAGGAGACATGGTGGAACTGTGTCTTCCTGGCTCACTTTCTTCACTCTGGCCCCAGAGGGGCAGTTGGTGCTGTGGGGAGAGGCTCCCAGCTGATGACCCAGGAGACATGGTGGAACTGTGTTTTCCTGGCTCACTCTGGCCCCAGAGGGGCAGTTGGTGCTGTGGGGAGAGGCTCCCAGCTGATGACCCAGGAGATATGGTGGAACTGTGTCTTCCTGGCTCTTGGGATGGTTTGGGGGGGGGCATAGCTGGAAAAAACCCCCATAAAAGTTAAGAAGTATTGTGTTCCTTATTCAGCTAGCTGGGAGATAGTCCCAGCTTCCATATTGCACATAGCCTATGTTATCATTGTGAAGGAGACTCTCTGGGGGTCTGAAGGTGTAACTTCTTCTGTTTCTGTCCACAGGGATCCAGTGCAAGCATAGCAGTCCCAGGCAGCTCCGGTGTCGGAACGACGAGGCAGTTTACACGGCAAAGGATAACGCGGGTGAACCTCAGGGACCTCATATTTTGTTTAGAAAATGAGCGAGAGACAAGCCATTCATTATTGCTATACAAAGCATTCCTTAAGTAAAAGTGGAGAAGATCAAGGTATTTTTTGGCGGAAGAAGACACCCGGGGACACTTTTTTTTAATATATATTTGCAGATTGCGCCTTTTTGTAACGAGCATATGGGAATATTGTTTTCAGAAACACGCACCCCATCAAGAGCAACCACCACCACACCACTCTGAGACGACCACCTCTTTAAATGGGAATGTTTTCTATTCCCATTTGTTATAAACTCTTTTGGTGTCAGAGCAGCGATCCCTTTCTTTGACAGTAAGGAGACTTGCAAAGGCCTGAGGAGACAATAGGAGGACAATTTAAAGTTTTACTCATCTCTTTGATTGAGTGGCCTTCTTGCCAAACAAGCCATATTATAGAGACTGGATGGAACCGTTTAGCAAATAACCAGCTACTCTGTGTCAGATCCTGTAGCAATTTCAACATGAATTGTGCATTTTAGTTCAGTTTTCCTTAACTAAATCAATATAAGTCTATGTCTACAGCAGATGACCTCATTTTATTTTAGCTTTTAAAAGGAGTCGGTTAGCAAAGCAAACTGATTTTTTTAAAGAAATATTTATCTTTTCCTGCCCCAAATTGTTCAAATTCTAGATTACACTTAATTTTAAGCGTAACCTCAATTCTTTTAATCTTGTTATTACCGCTTATTAGAGGCACCCCGCCCAACTCTGAAGGGACCCGCAAAGGAGGGTCACTTCTGAATGTTTTATCAGCATCTGTAAAAAAAAAAAATACGAAAAAGGAAAAAAAGAAATACATTTTATTTGCTATAGTTTGTAAAGCTGTAAAGTTTAAAACGGAAAAAAAGAAAAAAGAAAAAAAGAAATCTTTTCAGCATAATTATATTTTACTTGCACTGTGTTTTTAGCGAAAGTGAAAGCTTAGATTAATTAAAAATCAAAGTTAAGAGGAATCATCAAAAAAAGACAGTTTCTCAGTGTGAAATCAAGTGTTGAAAAAAATGGTTGGTGTATTTTGTCAGTAATTGTACATAATTTTTGGCACATAACATTAAAAAAAATGGCTATGTAAACTATAATTATTTTGCTAAAAGACTGTATGCAAGCTATGGGCTTTACTTTAAAGACGTCCAGAGCAAAATTCCCCTCTTTGTACCTATTTTTTTATTACAAATATACTAATTGGTTCTTTATATTTTCAGAGGTTATTGTATTAAATTGTCTATTGATAGTACTTTTATGACTGTAAATATGTCGGCTTTCTTTGTGTGAACTCTCTCATGTTAGACTTTAAGGGCATGAACCACCCTGAACGTTTCCTGTGCAAATCCTATTGCGATGAAGGGAGCTGTACTTGGACTTGGCATTGATTTCAAGGGAGCCTTGGGCAAGAAGCGTTTCTGGTGGATTGCACCTTAACTCTTTTTGTGTGTAAACTGAATGCTGATCAGTATTTTTATCAACACCCAACAAACTGTTACACCTTTTTATTTTGTCTTTTAGGGAAGAAAAAAAAAAGAAACCCTGTTTTCCATTTTTTTTCATGTAAATTTTGCACAGTTCCTTGTTCATATGTAAATATTTTACTTTCAAAAATGAAGTTTTTAATTGCTATTGTTTTATATAGGATTGAAAGAAAATTAACTCCTTTATTAAAAACAAATTTATCTGTATCTGTGTATGTATTTTTGGCCTATAAAAATAATCTATCCATCTCGGGATTGATTTAACCCTCCAAATTCCTCTTGCACTGCAACCAAAACAAACATCTATGGAAGGCTGTCTTCATTCTGTTGAAACAACAACATGAGGAGGTTAACTTGAGAGGATATCTAGCTTTTGCAGGCTGGGAGATAAGTAGATGTGATCCTAAGGGGCAACTTTTTCTTACTTTATCTCAGAAAGAGTAAGGACATGTGAGGGAGGGGGGAAATGGTTGGAAAACAGCCATCTGTACTGCACAAAACTGTGTGTTTGTTTGTGGTGAGACTGGTGATGAGAATTTGGCAATTACAATTTTGAGATATCAATGATACAACCCAATTTTCAATAATTTTTGGATTAACTGTATATTGCAGGCTTCCATCCATTTCTCGACAAGAAGGGCTGAGAATGTCGAAGGCTTTCATGGCTGAAATCACTGGGTTGCTGTGAGTTTTCTGGGCTGTATGGCTATGATCCAGAAGCATTCTCTCCTGACATTTCACTCACATCTATGGCAGGCATCCTCGGAGGTTGTGAGGTCTGTTGGAAACCAGGCAAGTGGGAAACTAGGCATATGCAGTGACGGTGAAACGAGAGGAAGCTGAAGCTGCCTAGAAGAAGGCTAGTATTTTACCGAGTTGCTGCCTGCACTGCATATCCAGAAATGACTTCCTTGGGAACCAGCAGCCAGATAGCAAATGAATATGTTGTGTGTGTTCCCCAAAATACCTCCAAAAATATAATACTTTTTGGAGGTATATGGGAGAAAGAACCTTTGTCTGTTTGAGGCAAGTGTGAATATTGCAATTAGAAACCCTGATCAGTATGTCAAAAAGACAAGATTTCTTTCTCTTACCCTGGACATTCCACAGATATATAAACCCCGCTTGCCTAGTTTTCAGCAGATCTCACAACATATTGTCGAAGGCTTTCATGGCCGGAATCACTGGATTGCTGTAAGTTTTTCAGGCTGTATATTCTGCTTCTAGAACATAGCCATACAGCCCGAAAAACCTACAACAACTCAGATCTCACAACCTCTGAGGATGCTTGCCATAGATGTGGGTGAAACATCAGGAGATAATGCTTTTGGAACATGGCCATACAGCCTGGTAAACTCACAGCAACCCAGGGCTGAGAATATTTACTATGTCACCTTCCTCATGACAATATTCGTGGATGCCTAACTTTTTACATTCCTCCCTCTGTTACTAATCTGAAACACATTTTTTTAAAAGCAACTGTCAATAAAGCCTTTAGGTTAAAATGTGAGCCAAGATCCTGTAATGCATACAGCTCCCTTGTTGCATCAATTCAGCTGGTTCCCAGTCTGTTCCTAGACACAAATTTAAAGTGCTGGTGATGCACTACAGTGTCCTATGCCAATGGTTCTCAACCTGTGGGTCCCCAGGTGTTTTGGCCTACAACTCCCAGAAATCCCAGCCAGTTTACCAGCTGTTAGCATTTCTGGGAGTGGAAGGCCAAAACATTTGGGGACCCACACCGAGAACCACTGTTTTTAAGTATCTGAAAGACTGTATCTTTGATCCTACTGGTGTTTTGAAATCATCTGCAACCCTCTCACAGGTAAGTTAGGTGGGCACACAGGAGAAGGCCTTGGAGTTCCCTTCTTAGAGATATTATACTGGTGCTCTCCTTGCTATCCTTTCATAAGCATGTGCTATAATTGTGTATACAGTTTCAGGAATCCTTTATATTTCAGGAATCCTTTGAGGACTAACTGCTCAAGGACAAGGCTTTTATTGTGTTACATCATTTATATGTGCTATTATTTTGAAAAGATTTATTGATAGTTTAATTATATTTTATCTTTTGGATGATGCAACACCACCCACAATATAATATAGCATAAATGTTGGAACTATACCATGCCCCTCAATCCCTTCAATTTAACTGCTTCAGTACCCTTCTCCCCAGCCATTCAGCGGTTGGTTGAGAGTGGATTGGTGTTTGGAGAAGTATCTGGCTATGTCTCCGTAACCTGATGCAAACTGATGACTTCATCTGATGAGATCCAACAATTACACTATGTAACACGATTTTTGTTCCTGGGTTATAAATGTCATTTCCTAATTGGTTCTATCATAAAAACATGGAAAACTTTTATTAAACTCCAAATGCTTTGTTTTTGTGGGATATCTTGCAACACATTTTTCAGTGAGTATCTCATAGAGTCTCAACCAATTCAACCTAGTTTGTGGCAACCACAAAAATGAAGTTTCTGGATTTTAACAACTGTTTTCAAAGTAAGTACCACACAAAAGAAATACACTTTCAAACCAGGAACAGGAAAGTTTTCAAATTTTTGTTACGTAGTGTTATAGCACTATCATATAACGACACAATTATAGCACTATTGCTCCACTTTAATTGCCATAACAACATCCTATGTAACCCTGGGAGGGATATTTAGAATCCCCTACCAGAAAACTCTAGGTCCTCCTTGTATTACAATGCCAGGGTAGCGTAAGATGTGGACATGACATTTAAGGTAGCATGACAGTATTATAAGGAGGATTTCATCTTCAATTACTTGCCAAGATCGTCTAATAAAAGGAAGAGCCTCAAACAATCATTTCTGAACTTGCAGACAATAGGAAGGTAAGTGAAAGCAAACATTTTATTTCTGTTTATCATGTTAAATATTAAGAAATGATTTCCTCCCCTAATTAAATGAATGCAGCTACAGCTATCATCTAGCATCTGCATAACGTAATGCTATAACAAGTTCTCGTTCACTCTAGAGGTTGAATATCCCCTATCCAGGATTCCAAAATCCGACGATTACTCCAAAATTGTCCACATTAGTGGCTGAGATAGTGACACTTTTGCTTTCTAGATTATTTAATGTACATACATTTTTGTTTCATGCACAAAATTATTGGCTATACAATTATCTTCATGTTATGTGTGTCAAGTATATGTAAAACATACTTCAATTTTGTGTTTAGACTTCCGTCCCATGTCCAAGGTATCTCATGTTTAAGCAAATATTCCAGAATCCCGAAAGATCTCATATAGATCTCCCAAATACTCCCCCTCCCCGCAAGTATATCAGAGAAGGGATATTCAACCTGTATTATTGATAGCAATATGATTATACTGTAACTGCTATGACAACATTCTATGGAATCCTTAGGATTTGCAGTTTAGGAAGGGATATTCAGAATGTGTCGTCGAAGTTTTTCACAGCCGGAATCACTGGGATGTTGTTGGGTTTCCGGACTGTATGGCGGTGTTCTAGCCTTCTAGCCATGTTTCTTCTGATGTTTTGCCTGCATCTGTGGCTGACTACTTCAGAAGATTGATGGTAGTAAAGCAAGTGGAGTATATATACCTGTGGAATGTCTAGGGTGGGAGAAAAGAACCATAGTCTGTTGAAGGTACAACTCACGTGCTAATGGGTGGATCACTCAACATGTACAAATCTAACTTGCCAAATGCACCCTTACACTTATTCAACAGACTATGGTATATATAATCCAATTGCTTTACTACCATCAGATCCTCTGAAGATGTCAGCCACAGATACGGGTGAAACATCAGAAGAAAATTGTTGGGCGGGTGGACTTATAAGCACGATCACCCCCACCCCCCATAAATGCACAGCAGAATAACTTATTAGCAACAGCTTGACCCAGCACTAGTAGCCAAAAAACAATCACAGGACAGAAACACAACCCCTTCTTGGCAGGGGGTTGGACTAGATGGCCCACGAGGTCTCTTCCATCTCTATGATTCTGTCTCTTCCTTTGGAGGCTTTTCTATGTAGCAAAATAATACGATTGCACTATTTACAAAAACAAGGTTTCTACAACACAAAGTTCTTTATACTTCCTTCTTTGTTTCTTTGCTGGCTGGGCTTCTTTCTCATGCAGATAAACAGCTTCCAGCTTTGCTCTCACAGAGCATCCTCTCACACTGAACTTGCACAGGAGCTTCACACACAGTAGTTTCACACACAGCAGCCTTCACGCTGGAGCTTCACACACAAGGCCTTCAACCTGGGGCTTCTCATACCGAAGCTTCTCACACCAGGCCTTCTGACAATGGGGCTGACCAAGCTATAGGCACACGCTATAGGCTTATATTGAACTGCAACTTATGCTAAATCATTGCACCCATTTTAACCCTTTTAGTGCTTGACTCACATTTTTGTAATTTAAAATACCTAGTTAGTTTTTAATATTTCTGACAAAAATGCTGCTAGAACACGGCCATACAGCCTAGAAACCACACAAGATCGCAGATATTCAGAATGCTCTGCTAGAAAGCCTTATTGTTGTAATCGTTATTATGTTCCTTCAAGATGATTTTAACTGTGGTGACGCTTTTTGTTCAGAGAGGATTTTGTCATATCCTTCCTCTGAGACTGTGACTTACCGAAGGTCATGTATTTGAATGTCATGAATGTGAGGATTCAAATCATCTCCCAGAGTCAGCATCCAATACTCAAAGTCGAGACCCCTGAGGGGTCATGGGGGGTATCAGAGGGGTCACCAAAGACATTCAGTAAACAGTATTTTCTGGTGGTCATTGGGGTTCTGTGTGGGAAGTTTGGCCCAATTCTATCGTTGGGGTTCAGAATGCTCTTTGATTGTAGGTGAACTATAAATCCCAGCAAATACAACTCCAAAACTCAGGGTCAGTGCCAACCAAACCCTTCCAATATTTTCTGTTGGTCATGGGAGTTCTGTGTGACAAATTTGGTTCAATTCCATCATTGGTGGAGTTCAGAAGGTTCTTTGATTGTAGGTGAACTATAAATCCCACCAACTATAACTCCCAAATGACAAAATCAACCCCCCGCCCCCCGCCCCAATAACACCAGTATTCAAATTTGGGCATAACAGGTTTTTGTGCCAAATTTCATCCAGTGAATGGAAATACATCCTGTATATCAGATATTTACATTACAGTTAATAACAGTAGCAAAATTACAGTTACA